AATTTCATGTCAGACTAATTGTCTGATCTCCTACTTGCCACTTGTGGATTTTTTCCCACATTTACATATATTCACAGAATCTATGATAATACCAATATAGCTTCCTATTATCAGTGCAATCAGTGCAGATTCATGCTGTCGTAGCCTGCTGCCTGCGACAGCCTTATTGTGTTTATTTCTGCCAGGATTTTGCATATTCCTCCCTGTTGGAATCTGTCTTCTCCTGTTGATCATATTCAGCTTGCATCCCCATTGAGATGACATAAACAACAGAGATTTAAATTTAGATTTAAATGTTCCTGACAAAGGCAGTTCTTATGATATACGTACACCAATCAGCCATAACATTATGACCACTTGGGCATCCTGACTCGTCTGAAGCTACACAGCCCCATATGCAACAAGCTTTGATGCACTGTGTGTTCTGACACCTTTCTATCAGAACCAGCATTAACTTTTTCAGCAGTTTGAGCTACAGTAGCTCATCTGTTAGATCGGACAACACGGGCCAGCCTTCACTCCCCATGTGCATCTATAAGCCTTGGCCACCTGCGACCCTGTCTCCGGTTCACCTCTTTTCCTTCCTTGGAGCACTTTTGATAGGTACTGACCAGGAACACCACACAAGAGCTGCAGTTTTGGTCAAAGTCAAAAATCATATCCTTGAGAGGGATGGGAGAAAGACCTGACTTCAGAAAATGTACAGCTTACTTAGCCAGCACTACATAATTGATTATGTTGTTACCAACAGTGAAGCAATTAACAACCTGAAGAGCTCTGAGGCATATCAGTACTTTCATAGAAATAAAGTAGGCTGTCTTTTATTAGAGGAGGTGGAACAGGACCATGTCTTTTTAAAAGCAGACACAGAGCGAAGTCATAGCATCAAAGTCCCACATAATCACATCACTAGCTAATGCTAAGAAAAGTTAAGCCCTGTTTGGACGGGATTAAATCACAGAGGGAGGTGGGAAATGTAATAGTCACTGTTCCTCCGTAATTTAACTCATCATCATTTTAACTGTCATGAAATGACAGGATAAGATCTGTAATAGATGTGGGTATGCTGCAGGTAACTGCCACCTGTCCCCTATAGTATGGGATCATCCTGTAAAATTTAGGATTATTTTGTATTGAAAAATAAAATGCACTGTCCCTTACTGAATCAATACAGGACACAATTTGTCCCGTACTTTCATTCACACCCTACTCTAATGTATACAATATATTTTCACATGCTCGGAATGACATGCAAAATAATAAAACCAAAAGAGTTTCATGTGACATAGTGGAAAAGTAACCTATTAAATCAGAATTTGTGGACACCTAATGACAGGCAAGTTGTCTATCCCTCAGTGCCATTGTTGCCCTGGTTACGGAGACTCAGATGTGTGGTTTCAAAAATGTCAACAAATACCTCCAGATAAAGTCTGCCTGTGAAAAGGGGCTGTCTAAATACATGTCTGAATGGCAGACTACTAGAAATACTAGAAATGATGTTAATAATAAATCATATTATGTTGTTATAACTAATTTGCAACAGCAAATATGTTGTGAGGGAAACGTTAATGCTGACCAAATTATGTTTTCAATTAACATAATGAGGAAACATAACATTGACATTAGCTGGCAAGTTGCAAAACGGTGATACTGAATGTATCAGTAAAATGATCACTGACAACATATTTCATTTGTTTTCCGCCAAAATAGGCAATCTTGCAATACTATTCACTTGTAGAGACTACAGCATTATTCGGAAATCAGCAGTAATTTGAAACATATTATTTTATTTACATTTAACCAAAATCACAATCTTTGCCTAACCTTACCAAAGTGCTTGCCGGAGTCTGGACCACTGACTGAGTTGTGACAGTCCTGTATCACATTAAAGTAATGTAATGCATGAAAAAACATTATCTCTGAATATAATCCAGACAGGTAGTACGAAATAACTCCAAAAACAATTTAGTAATATACAAATGTAATTTCTAGAAAACAGGGTTTCAAGTGGATGTCAGTGGGAATGAGCAGGCAAACTGTACACTTTGCCATAGAGGATTTTCTGTCACAATTTGTGCATAAGAAATTCACCAGAATGCAGGAAATGAAGTGTCTGATACTCAGTATCTCACAGGGGGTGACCCTAAGAACCCACAATTGATTTGTGTACCCCAGGCCTGGGGCCACTGGCAAGGTAAACCTTTCCACATTGAACATGACAACCCTAGCTGCAAGACAAACCAAAGCTTCCCCAGAGGGGCACAGTATAGCTGAAGGGGAGGCATGGAGCAAGAGGCAAGAGGCAAAGACACTGCGTGAGGTGAATCTGAATCAAAAATAACATACATAATGTACACAGTTTCAGATTCAGTGTAACCTCCCTTCTCTCTGTCCAAAGGAAAAAAAAATACTACTAAACTTGCTGAATCATCACATTTTTAAATTTCAAAGTAATCCAGTGATAGTTGTCTGTACATCCATGGATACACTGCAGACAGGAGCTGCTAATAGCTAATTCGGCATCAGTGGCAGAACTAGACTTTTATACAAGGGGAGGCCAGAGGGTGGTCAAGGCTTTATCAGGGGGGGCATATACTAGGCCTAATAAAGAATGGAACGGAAAGTGGCTGGAGGAATTGGACCTAAGTTTCACTTTCAGTTTCTGGTGCAGCCATTAAACCGGCACACCGTCATTTCTTCAGAAAATTAAAAACACCCGTGGGAGAAGTCGGTGTCTTGGCAAAACAAAGAGAAGGCTGCACATCACAGACTCTAGACGCAAGACTCAGCTCAAGGATCAAATAAAAAATGTAAAAATCGCGCTGTTTTCGACGTGACGTTCAGTGACCTGTCAATCAACTGGGGTGGCACCCGAGGTGTCCAATCAGGTTCCAGAGGTGGACAGTGCTACCCCGGCCACCCCTCTAGCTCCGCCCCGTTCGACATACTTTCAATGGTGCCAGTTTACCAAAACATAAACAAATATAGACTAAGAAGACACTTCACAAGCTGTAGCCTTCACTGACTCACCTGGCAACATGTCCTGTTTACATCCCCCAAACTCCTCCAAATGGTAGGAGATGTAGTTTCAAAACATACAATCACAATCACAACAGCAACTAATAGTGACTGGTTATTTGTATTTATTACTGAGCCCTTTGGGGTTTCATATATGAGCACTGATAGCTGCTCCACAAAGTCTTTGCCCTATTGCGAGACTTAAGTTTTCAAAAACAAAGTCCCTTTTTTCCCCAATTTATAATAATGAATTCAGGGTCTCCTTACTGTAGAAAATAAATAACGTGATTACTACTACTGCCAGCATCATCCCAAAAACCTCTTCAGGATTGCTCGAAACTGCCAGGATAATAAATAGTCATAAAGCAATTTTCACAGCTTGTGTGCCAGCCGGTAGAGGAAAAAATATAAACTAAAATGTAGTTTAGGAATTATAAATTGAGCAGCTGATTGCCTAAGCAATCTTTGCTCTTTCTTTGGGTTGACATTTTCTTTAAGTTCCAGTCTGCAATGGCGTGAAGTCAGAGAAAATGGTTTCCAATATAGCAATCAGGGTAAACATTTCCTTGGCAGATGATTTTATGTAGATGTGCCAGAGGAAATGCAACACTTGGTGACAGTCTGTCAGAAGCGGCTGTGACGAGTTCAGATATTAATACAAGCATCTTACAACCATGCATTCATTAAGTCAGCATACATATGGACATCATGCAAATGATGATGAAGTCTGTCTTGCTTAAAACCAGTATTTCAACTCAGTTTACACAACAGCCAGATGGACAGTCCAGATGGACCACAACTCAGCCAAGTAGGCTACATTTACCAACTGATTGTGAGTCTTTATGGATATTTATAATATACTCAGTGGGAAAAGACTTTATCTTGTGCGTTGTTGAAATAATGTCTAATACAGTCAAATTGAAAAAAGAGTAATGTTTCGAGACCTTTCAGTAAAAAAACATTTTTACTACTTCTTATAGAACACTGGTATACATTAAAGACTCACGTAAGCTCTTTTTGTTGTTCCCAAATACAAAGGGATTCACAGGAAGAAGTCTTTTCTGGGCACAGATCTCCTTCACATTGGATGTGATGCATTATATGTTTCCATCAACAGCAACAGTGACATTTGTTTGGTATAAATAGAGGGCAAGCTCAGCATTTAGAGCAAGCAGTAACAGCTGTTAGCATTAATAATAATAGCATCTGCTGCCGCAGCAGAAGTAACAGCAGTAATTTGTGTGTAATTGTGTGGATGAATTCACTCACTAGCTTTTTCTTAGCTTTTAACTGCATCTCATAGTCTTAAATGGCAAATGGAACTGGGACATAAATGTGGAAAAACGGTCACCTGAATCAGTTCTGTTAGCTGATGAAGACCATGGCATGTGGTTGAAAGCTTAAAGTAAGCTAATGAGTTGACCTTAAGTTGAGCTCTCCTATCTGTCAAGTTTATGTGGCTCCATCCACCCTCCAGGGATTTATCTCAATGACGTACATTTCCTTCTGTGAAAGGACCTTTGATTTGTTTGTTTTATATTATTTGTGTTTTGGGTGATAAACGATGGCTAACCAGCTTTGTGGTTGTGAAGGAATATTGTCAACTAATTTTTATTTATTAACAGTTTGAGAGAAGTTAGTAGGTTTTTCACATATGGTCATGGTGTTTGAGCTTCACCGCATGTACGGCAGTTTTAAGAAAGTAACTATCATATGACATAGGTCACTGAGTTGCATTAAGCACTGATTATTTATAGAAAATAGACTGCAAACTATAGAACCCTCAAATATAACTGATATAACTCTGCACTTAACCAAAACAAGCAGTCACATTTCAAACTGACCATTGGTAGTAATAGCATCATCATAGTCATAGAAATAGTAGCAGTAGTAGAAGTAGCACTAGCAATACTAGCAGTACTAGTAACAGCCTTTGGACTATCTGTCCCAGAAGCAGTAAACATCATGGCTGTCCATCCTACCATGTAGCTGGTAGTCCACAGAGATGTCGGAGGAGGCCTGCAGCAGAGCCGACCTGCGATAAACCACGTGGACCCTGCCCTGGTCCTCCAGCTCCTGAGTGCCTCTCTCCAGCGGCTCAATGAAGTATTCATCTGAGTCAGTGCGGATCATTCCAGCCTGCAACACAATATCAGGACAGTGAGCATACAGAACCAGCAAGTGCACCTGCTTCTGTACTGAGAGGAAAGAGTACACATGGACAGTTCCTTAAATACCTCAATAGAATTAAGCTAGAAAGAGACTTTAGATGCCTTAATGGCCTACCATAATCAACCATGATCTATTAAGCACAAGCAATTACGCTAAGATGTTCACAAATCAAGATAATTATTGCATTAAGCTGAAAATAAGTTCAAGAAAATCTGTTTCTCTTTATGTAAATGTATGCAACAAGACAACAACAATTTGTTACTCCTTGACTTGTGTACACAGACAGACGACAACATAATGACACCATAATGTCCAACCTAACAATCCTGTGGAAAAAAACAGATGCGTAAAATATATGACAATGAAAAGACAGATGTGCTAATTAAATATTTAGTAATTTATTCAATACAGGATGTCTGCTTAAATGTATTTGGGTATTTCTGTGCGATATTGTGACATGTTGTTTTGAGGTTTCCTGCAACTTACAATCTGTTTGCAAGTATCAGCCGGGTGCCCGCCAGCTGCAGGTGGTGATCAGTAAGCTACACATCATTAGTATCACATTGGAACAAAATTGCTTTGTGATCGCTACCTGCCGCCCTCATATTTCCTGCAATAAGAAGCCAGTCATGCCCACAGTTTAGGGCGGATATAATGGATGACACTGTCCAGTTAACACAGCAAGGTACCAACAATGTACAACTCATCAAATCCAAATGATGTGCTAAAGCAGGTGTCACACGCGTGAAGGCTGAGTGAAGCTGCAATTGAGGAGCAGGTGACCTAGCTTTGTACTCTTCTGAGCCATCCACAAGCCTTTTCTGTAATTACGGTGCATTTTCCTTACAAATATTACAAATGCACCCTTCAGATCTGTCAAAAATGCAATTCAGAATGCTAATAAGCTCTCAGCCTTGTGTAATGTTTTGATTCATCAAGCACATCAATGTGAAATGCTAATATGTATGGTCTGCTTATCTGTGCAGCCCTCAGAACACTCTATGTGTCACTCTACTGTGAACACCAGAGGCATCCATTGAGACAGGGGGAACATTAATGATTTAATGCCTAACAATCACATTCATCCAATGAAGAGCGAGTTGCCTTGGCTGAAAAAATGCTGTTATTGTGCACCTGTACGCAGACAGGACCACCTCTCACAGAGCTCCAGAGGAATTTGTTCCAGCTCTCGGTCAGCCGGTCGACCGGTCCAGCTCCACTGCTCCACCTCGCAGGCCTTACCTCGCTCTGGCCTCTTCACTAACACTCTGTTGGACAGTGCACATATGGTGCTTTGCAACCAACACACACACTGAACTCATTTCCAACTCCCATAGTCCCCAATCAACCGAACACTCCCCCCTCTCTCTCGTCCTGTTTACACGCACTACTGGCTAGAATCCAATTTAAGTTGTTATTCAAGTTTACTTGTAACTTTGATAATGTGCTGTGATGACTGACTCTCCCCGCTGCCATTAATAAACACATTAACAGAACATTCATGTCCCAAGGTGTTCTACACATAGATGAACAGTCTGCCAGTAAAATGAAATTAAAACTTTAAGCATCCAAATTACCTCTTACTTGCGCAGCAGGGGAAAAAGACATGATCATTCCAAAAGTTAATACTGTTTACTGCCACTTTCTGACATCATAATGAAGCCATAATGTCAGTCTGATTTGATGCAGTTTAAAAGGACCAGGTTTCTTTTGGCAACACAACCAGGTTTACTCCTTGTCAGAATAATCTAACAGGGTTATGATGCTGACATACGTCAAATTGAAACTGTATGATTTGAGTTGCCAGAGGCACTGCCACCTGTCGCTTGGCATCATCTCTCATCGTGGATGTTGATGATTGGATGTGGAGATACAAAGCTAAACTGCAATAAATATATTGAAAATGAATCTGGCTCTATCTGCTTGGGATAAAATTCATGTGAAAATGTATTTAATTTAATTCTGACGGAAAAGTCAAACCTCTTCTTTAACATAAACATAATAAAATGACTTGATGACACACACAGGAGGCCTGGATACACCTGTTTAAACGCACCCTGTTGAGTTTTGCCGTAAACAGAGTTATGTTTACACTCATAACATACTCATACACTCAAACAACATATTGTGTTGTTTGAGTGTATGAGTACATAGTACACAGTATGAGTGATAACATCTCGCAGTCTTCTGCTTTGCTATCTTTTGCTGGTGCGTTGCTTCTTTCTTGGTACGTTACTCCCAATAACTGTCAATGAGCAGAATAGTGAGTGACTGAAAAATTTTCAAATGCTTTTCAACAAGTCCTCCAAACTAAATGACAAAATACATTAATTGTAGATACTCTGTAGAACACATAGAAACACTTAGAGAATGAAACGTCATAAATTACTATGGCCGCAAGAGGGCTTTGTCACTAAATACATGTTGTTTTGGGGCACTTGCTTGCCTGGGTCCAAATCCTTCAAATCCACGCACTCCACCGAGTTGACTGTTTCTCTGGAAATGGAGTTGAGAATTCTGTATATGAGACAAGGCCTTTGCTGAAATTACTTTTCTTCTTGAAAGGACAATATCTCCCTTCATCCTTTGTTTGATGGAAATGACAAACCTTTTAAGTAAATGCTAGTTTCATTTACCATCACAAATTCACTTAATTTATGTGCAGGTCTACTGTAGCTAGCACCTGATGATTCTACATCTTCTTTCATCTGTTATCTGTTTGTTTTCTTATATTTCATGCTTTATGGCTATAATACTCTACATACTGTATTTTCCCTCCACAGCTGGGAGAAATGTATGCCAGCTCACACACACACACACACACACACACACACACACACACTCATGCACGTACATGTGCGTCCTCATCTGTGTTTTAGTCAATTGCAATATACAAAAAACAAAAAGACATTACTTGCAGGTGCTAGCAATTTACAAAAACCCAGTTAACCTTCCTGGTCAACATTTTACAACTAGTCTCTTCTTAATTTAGCAAAGCCAAATCTGAACTTTGTGTGAGAAGGTGCATTTGAAAGACCTTCTGCTACAGATTCTACCACCGTCACCAACTTTATATTCTGCAATCACACATGTAGAAAAAGAAGAAATTAAAGTGTGATCCAAAAACAAATGACGACAAATTAAATTTCATTTTTCAAGTGCACTCTGTCTTTGCTATTCATAGGTAATCAATGCTGATCTTTTAATTGATTAACTACAGATGTGTTAAATTAAGAATCAAAATCACTGATCCACTATCATTTAAGATTCATCCCATGCACGAAGTACTGTAGTTCTGAAGAGAGGGCGTACAAATCTTGATCTGCAGAAAATATGTTTGTTTAGTATAAATCCCCCAAAAATGACACATCATCATAATAGCAATTGCAATATTTATTAAAACGCAATGTGATGTTTTTACCATATTATGCAGCCCTACATGGATCCACACCATGCAAACAGGATACCACAGAGCATGTGTTCACAGCTCACTTAGATCACAAACAACGATCTGACTTGTTCTCTGGAGATGATCTTTTTCAATAAATCTGCACATATGATTCTAATGAAAGTGTAAGAAATTGATCACTGACCACTGACAAATATAGTTAAAGCTTTCTATGATGAACCACATGTTATTTATTATGCAACAAAATCACAACAAAGCCTTGATTTTGTATGTTAGCAGCAAACACACCATAGAAAGAATATAGGCACATACAGAAATAAAGTCTGAATTGTAAGGACAATTTATGGCATTTGACAGCTATGATGGCAGCTAGAGGTTATCAGAAAATGAATGGATGTGGTACAGGAGAAGAATACAGAATAAGAGAGATCCTGTGATCTTTGACATGTCTTCCTTATCAAAGAGAACATCATCTCCTGCAGAGTGATGTGAATACAGTGCTGTCAGAAAGAGATGAAAAACCTATTCTAGATTTAGAAAGTATTATTAGCTACATCAGGTTAATTTGTATTTTAAAAAACTGCCACATTATTGCCTTAAAACCCTTAGAAAGGTGTTATAAATGCATATCAGACAATATAAACCAAAAGTTCATGTGATTTCTTTTTGCCTTGCCTTGTTAACTTAAACATATTTGCAACAGGGATTTCCTCCTCGGCTTATTGTGTGTATTTATCTTGTACCTGCAGGCATTGCTCGCAAAGAGATTATAAATATTCTGTATGTCAGCATACATTGTCAGGCTGTAATGCAGTTTGCCTACCAATGTCCCAATTACCAACTCCTCACATACATTAGAATTCAGGGACAAGGTCCTCGGATTATCCAGCCTGAATTATTCCTGGCATTACACCGTAGCCACATCCTGCCACTTGTTTTTCCCTTTGTTTACCCTAAGCTCATCCCCCACCTTGATTGACTCCCAGCTCGCAGCTAAACAAATTCAACAAGACTGGCATGTTGACGGTGACTGAGCTCGGAAGCAAATACTGGATTAAACGAAAACCAATTCAGCATACCTCGGCCTAATTCACTGATTTAATGTATGCAAAAGTCAAGAAAGAAGAAGTTGAACATCCCAGAAATGAATGACCTATTAAAGCGCCTCTTCAGGTAGAGGTGGGATTCTGAAGTTGTGCAGACAAACTGACAGATGGATAATTGGACAAAAGCTGCAATTCTGTGTTCACTGTTCTCCAGTGTTGCTGTTTAATTCTGAGCATCTTGTGAACTATCTGAGGAGCTGAAAATGCCACAATGCTTCTTGTTAAGACGTGGAAAAGGCAAGCGGTGTGAAGAGTGCAGGTCTACCTTTAAAAACCAATGCCATGCAGGATTCTGCGTAATGAGACTAAGAGCTGACATTTTAATATTGATCAAAGCTGTTCCACAGCATGACGCACAACTGGTGATATTAAAGATATTTCTGTGTGTAAGACAACACTGTCTGCATCACTGTATGATGCTGTTATTTAAAAAAGACGGACTGTTTTTCATG